ATATTAAATAACATTAATATTGTAGGAAATGTCTAACATGACAGTGTATTAAAACTACAGACAAACTATTATTTCTCAGTGAATTAACTATGGAAACTAGATTCAGATATCATATATGTAGCTGTGGAAAATAAAGTTTAGACTTATGACATAAGTCCACTGGCTAATAGTTTTATAGTTCAAGAGTACCAGTTCATAATTAACTCTATTCTAAATGTGTTCATGCAATACTGCTATCATTCAGGTATGTGAGATTTGGAAGACCAGTTCAAGAATGAACAATGAAAATTGCGGATCACTGTCCTAATACACTCTTGTTTGGCTACATTAACTGACAATAAAACTTTTCAACAAATAAGCACTAGAATAGTCTAATAAAAGCAAACAGAATGATAAACACTCAACTTGTGTCACTTAGAAAGGGTCATTTTACCCCTTGGACTTTTTGAAAATGATGTGCACTATAAATTCCAGAGTCTTCGTGAGTTAGAACAGGAGCTGGCGAACTGTGGCCCAGATGCTCGTCTTTGCAGACAGTGTCATGGGGCTGCAGCCAGGCCCATGCATTTCCACATTGCCTCTGGCAGCTTTAGAGCCACAGGGTCAAAGTTATGATGGTGACATGTGCTACGAGGTCATACCTGACTCTTTAAGAAAAAGTCTGCCAACCTCTGGACTGGATTTTTTTTATACTACCTTTTAAATATCCCTTTTATTCTAGAAATTGCCTGGTTAAGATTTTTTAGGGCAAATAAAGAAAAGGGAATCTTATTTAACTGAGATCATTTCAATTCAAAATGACATGTGCTTACACAGCCTGTTTTGCTTTGATAAAAGCAAGCTGAAGTCTTTTAGGCTTGGCCTTTTTATTGATGCTGTGCTGCTCAGCTGCTACTTCTCTGGCACTGACTTCTGTCTCAGACTCTTATTTGGGCTTCTTACTCTCCTGCTGCTAAGCTTCCCAGGATGCTTCTCGAGCCTGCATTTCTATCTTCTTTCCCTTGCTCTTCTGACCAGTTTTATTAATGTTTTTATGTGCTCTGGATTGGATTTGGTGAAAGTAACAGGAGCTTTGGTGACCTCCCCTTCCATCTTGTAAGTTATTATTTAACAATTCTGTAGTTTTCACCTATTTTTTTTAAAGAGAGTGTTTGTTTTGTGTTTTAGTTTTACTTAGACCTATTCACATACTAATTTTTTGCTTACCATCCTTCTTGCATCGTAGTCTTTCCCTTTGGGCTTAATCTGTTTTTTATCCGAATCTTCACTTGTTTATAGCTCAGGGGTGCTGACCACTTCTGGGTTTGGAGCAGCCCTGGATCAGCTGCTACCTTTTGCAACAATATTCGTGCTCAGGTCAGGGAATGTTTTATTCTTCAGCCCTAACTCGCCTGCTTTCTGTGATGCAAGGATTCATTATAATTTTATGTCTAATGAACTACTTCTTATGGTCCAAAGCAACTATTGATTCATTCATTTTAAAAAACATTTTTCTGTCTGGGGGACAAAAAGCGGATACCATGGCATGTGCTCACACCTCAGTCTTGATGCGGAAGTCCCACATGTGTTATCTCCACATATTTTTTTTCATTACTAGTTCAATTAAAACTCAGGCCAAATTAAGTTTTGCCTACAGAAATACGTATGTTCCATTTCTCATAACCATCCCTGACTAATTCTGAAAGGCAATCTTAAATAGCAGAAAGAATATGGGCTTTGGAGTCATAATTTTGGAACAAATCTTGATTGCATTATATACTGTTTGACTTTAGATAGATACTTAACCTCTCTGAGACATGGTTTTCTTATTCATAAAATGGAGACTGGTTATACCTATGTATTTGGGTTGATAGAAATTAAAGGAGACGACAAAGTGTTTAGTACATATTCTACAGATGTTAGTTTCCTCTTTTGCTAAATGGATAATCAAGAATTAAATGTTTAAAATTCCCACTTGTGTCATAAACTTCATCCTCCATTGTAGTAAAAACAAAACAAAACAAAACAAAACAAAACAAACTTGTCTGGTAAGTGATACAGCATGTCACACAGTCTGATTTCAAATACTCCAGCAATTTTTATTTTCTTTGTGATTTTTTTTCTATTAGTTGTGATCATACTGTTTTAAAATTTCTGTTTATTATTTTGGCTTCTATCCTAAGCTAATGATATACCAGCTGGATAATATATTAAAAATGTCAATCAATCTGGTAAATTTCTCAAACTAAGTACCTTTAAAACAAATTCATAATAATCCATAAGGATTCTAACTTTTGATAAAGGCAGAATAAACCATATTTCACAATATACACACTGTAATGTAAAGAATGTGCACTGGAATAGCCTTATTTTAGTAACAAAGGCTTTTTGAAAGAGCAGTTTCCAAAAAATATTTAGCTAACAAAACTACAGGGTATCCATTAAAGAAGCTTATGCAACAAAAAACTCAAGCAATTAATTTTATAAAAGCTGAACTAAATTTTACTGTGCTGCTTTCATAAAGGTTAAAAAAAAACCTTTTCATTTAAAATAACAGCTCTCAATTGATTTGCCATCACTACAGCCATCTCTGTTACTTACCAATAAAAATCAAGGCTCAGATACAAATAAAAATTACATTACAGGCACAATTAAAAGAAAAAATAAGTCAGTTAAAAGCCAGACAATTCAACTTAAAACCAGCATTTTAGCAATGAAGTACATGTTATAGAGACTCCTCTAGGGTAACACAGAGCCTAATGTACATGTAAATCCAGCTAGAAGATTGATTCTTTGACAATGGAATCTTAAAACCAGAAGGTCTCAGTGACCTTGGACCATGACTATGAGGAATACAGAACAATGGTTGGGGTGCTCTCTAGCATAAGGATAATTTTTTGTTTTGTCTGTCCTATGAGGAAAGAGGCCTCTCAGAAAGAAATACAGTTCTGCTCTAGCATCTAGGATCAGGCAAAAACAGAGAGCATGCTTAGGGGCATCTCATTTAGTAAATTACCAGAGCCCTAAGCTTAAAAAGGATGCCATGAAGTTATTATTAAGTTATTATTTTCAGAGAACAAAATGCTTGGCTGGGTAGAAAAGGTCATGGAAAGGAAGAAAGAAAGGGATGGAAGGAATCATTCATTTCTCTTTGTTTCCGACTTAATGCCAATTGTATCTCAACTAAAAAATAAATTCGTACTATTGTATTAATTTAAGGTGCACACTACAATGACTTGATGAATGTATATACTGAAAAATAATTACCACAATAAGATTAGTTAACATCAGTCACCTCAGAGTTACAATTTCTTTTCTTGTGATGAGAACCTTAAAGATTTAGTCTCTTAGCAACTTTCAAATACAAACAGTATTGTTAACTATTTATTTTACTATATACTTATCAGACTGGTGAGGCCAAGGGAATGAAGTCAACAATGAGGAAGAAAACAGACAGACAGGCAAAAAGAAATCAGATCCTAGTCTGTTGGCTTAAGCCCAGGGACAAGCTGTGCCTCAACTGTAGAGTTACAATCAACAAGATCTCTTTACTATTTAAACCTATTTGAGCTGGGTTTAGTACTTGCAATACTAATAAAATACTGGAATTATATAAATCTTTCACAAACTGTAAATCAACACTTGCAGCCTGCAACAATCCATTTTTAATATGGTAGGCAAAAATATTCCCCCAGGGATAAAATTACCTAGTGGTTTTTCCAAGAAGTACTTTTTAATCTCTTCATGAGTGTGGAGGAAGAATGGACAGTAAGGAGAAAGAGTGATTGGAAACTGTGAGCACATTCTACCACTGAATCTGGATCCAGTGCAGTGGCAAAGAATAGTATTTCCATTTAGTTTGGCTTTTGGAGAACTTCATCATTTATATCAGAATTGTGGACAGTATCTCAAAATTATTATTAATATATACCACTTCCTACCCCCAGCCTCCCCAAACTCACAGAACAGGCACACATTTAAAGAATTTCAGTAACTGTGTTTAACATGAAACTTTGTATATTTAACACAAAGCTTTGGCTTAAAAAAACTGTTTTAGAGTCTCAATTAACTACTTTTGGAACAGCATCTTTTAAAAGCTCTCAGTTAAGAGAGAAATGGGCTACCCTCCTTCCCAATAATCTCCAACTTCTTACGGAGGCTGACTCTGGGAAGCATAAAATCCTCTTCAGTTTTAGTTATAATAAAACCAATTATTTATTGAGCACCTGTGTGTTAAACATTTTTCTACAAAGCCTTATATACATTTAATTTTTATTTCTTTCTTGCTTATTCTAGCAGAGTTTATTTAAAAATCTCAAGCAAAATGTTACAAACAGCACTTTCCAAAGTATGGCCATGAAGTGAAAACCTTGGGATTAATATCGGTGTCTTACTTTATGAAGATTTCTTGTCCTTCAACATTTGCAGGTTCTATTTAATACAGCTAGAATGGTTACAACTGACTGCTTAATTGCTGAGGCTGGATTCTGAACTCCATCTAAGAGTTTTTAATGGCAAATACAAAACACTGAAAAACTCCAATTTACCAGTGTCTTAAATACATCAAGACACTAGATGATTTGGAAAGACCCTACAGCAAACTACCTCTACTAATCTTGCTCAGTATGTACTACAGAAAATGAAGCTTACAAATTTCAAACCAGGGGCAGCTACTCAAAGTGTGGTCCATGAACCTGGTACCGGTCTACAGACTGTCCCTAGTCCAGGACACTTTACATCACTTAGTACAATGCTTAGTTCAGCAAACTTGTTTTTCTAGAGCAAGATATTTTTGATGAAGGAGACTGCTGATTTATATTATATCCTAGCCTAAGCTCCCTATCCTTCAAAAACTGGTAACAGTTTGTGGACCAGCTATTTTAAGTAACATTGTTCTAGACCTCAATTTTGGATACTGCCTCTAGTTTTCTGTTCTTGATGCCACACAAAATTAATAACCAAATACTTAAACAGTCACATAGTAATGGAAAAATAAAAATTGCTTTTGCAATAGACCTCACCTTTGACAGAAGCAATTTCACACAGGAAACATGACCTTCATAGACAGCAGACAGAAGAGGGGTAATATGGTGTTTATCTGGAGCCTATGAAAATAATAAATAGACATAAACTACTCTATCTGTTTTTCATTTCTACCTTCTTTCTAGATATAACCAGGGAACTCTTACGAATATTTCAAACTCTATGTTTACCTCTTTGCCTTGCTATGCAAAATCACTTCACGGGTACAAGTTTCCAGCCTCTTAGCTGCCAGAGGTCCAAGCCATAAGCAGTTTCTCCTTGGGCATCAGCATAGTGAAGTAGAGGGAGTAGGGCTTTGATCCCAGCTCAAAGCATTTACTGTGTAACTAGTTATTTAACCTCTCTGAGCTTCAACTCCCCACTACTGCAGAAATGTCAGTGAGGTTCAGGAAGACGGGGTAGAACATTGTCAATTAAAGTGAAATACGGTTACAACTGGGCCAGGTGACATGGTGTCCCCTGAAACATACAGTTTACCTCACTTGTGTTCATGGTTAAACATTTTTCCAAAGCTCTGAAATGCAGGACCTTTAAAAGGCAAAAGCCAAGAGATGACTGCTCTTGTTGGACCTCTTGCTTACTGACCTTTTTCCCAAAAATCTTGCTTAGATTTATTATGTGACTGCAGAGTCCTATCCTCTATTACATGATAGCCATTTCCTACCTCCAGACAGAACTCTCACGTTGCTTTAGAAAAAAGGAAACATCCTAACTCACAGTTTTATCAGTTTGCTTTGCTTATTAAAAAAAAAAAATCCCAACTACATATTTCTAAATTACAGGAAATCTGGTATAACTTCAGACTGTATTATTTAAAAATTAGACTTCCACAAGTAATTATTTTACAATCTACAGGAAACAATTACCCAAAGCATACAACAGGAATTTCTACTAGAGTAACAATGTTCTTTACATACGTTAATATCTGCTCCTTTCAGCAGCAGAAATTCCAGGATTTCAAGCTGCCCACAATCTGCTGCATAGTGAAGAGGCTTCCTTCCACCTTCTAGTGTTCGGTTAACATCTTCTCCCTAGAAGCCAAATGAAAACAATATTTGTATGGATGGTAGATTGAAGAAGAGAAATGAGATACCTGATATTTTTACTTTCTTAAAGCCCTAAGAGTTTCATGACACAATTATAATTCTTGCCAAGTAACCAAGAACTTGAAATTAAATTCTCAGTGATAGCACAGCTTGATAGTAATATAAATCATGATTAGTCAAGCTGGAAATGATGTGCAATAATGGTAAATGTAATATATTCCTGTGCTCTATTTCTAAGGAGTTCAATCAGCATAATGTCAAAATGTGGCTACATGCTGGAAAACCTAGAAGAAATGGACAACTTCCTAGAAAAATACAACCTTCTAACACTGACCAAGGAAGACACACAAAATCTAAATAACCCAAGTACCAGCAAAGAAATTGAAGTGGTCATCAAAAAAACTACCCAGGAACAAAACCCCTGGGCCAGATGGATTTACCTAGGAATTTTATCAGACATACAAAGAAGACATAATACCCATACTCCTTAAAGTTTTCCAAAAAATAGAAGAGGAGGGAATACTCCCAAACTCATTCTATGAAGCCAACATCATCCTAATACCAAAACCAGGCAAAGACCCCACCAAAAAAGAAAATTACAGACCAATATCCCTAAGAGATACAAAAATACTCAACAAAATATTAGCAAACCGAATTCAAAAATACATTAAAAGGATCATGCACCATGACCAAGTGGGATTCATCCCAGGGATGCAAGGATGGTACAGCATTCGAAAATCCATCAACATCATCCACCAGATAAACAAAAAGAAGGACAAAAACCACATGATCATGTCCATAGATGCTGAAAAAGCATTCGACAAAATTCAACATCCATTCATGATAAAAACTCTCAACAAAATGGGCATAGAGGGCAAGTACCTCAACATAATAAAGGCCATATATGATAAACCCACAGCCAACATCATACTGAACAGCGAGAAGCTGAAAGCTTTTCCTCTGAGATC